AATCCCATATCTTGAAAATCTTGGACCACGAAAAGCCATTTGATGTTACTTACAAATCATTCTGAACTATATGAATAATATGAAGATGTCTTGAATGACTTGGATGATTTCGCTAAAACGTATGGATTGAAACAACCTCGGAATCTCCCACTACATCTATTGTGATTCAAAACTACAAATGCTGCAAAGGGACTTTCAATGAAAGAATGTTGTTGACTAATGACATACAATCGAGATTTGTGAATGAACGAAATGATGTACAAATATGTTAAGTATGCTCCAAAATACGATGTTATACCTTGCAAAGGAACTTAGGTTATGGTTGTTGAATCTGAGCGGGAACCTACGAAATGGATTGTTGGATGCGTTGCCTATTAATCTCTTGAAGAAAGAACGAGTTTGATAACATCGACAGTTTGAGAATACGTATCCGTTTGGATAATGACGTAATTATGGTTTAACCAAATGAACATGACAACGTCATGATAAAGTGAGATCACTACGAAATGTTAAACGTTGACCCTTAGAAGAATTTCGAGGACGAAATTCCTTTAAGGGGGGGGGGAATGTAACGCCCCAAAACATACCCTAGAATTATTAATAAATAAATAATAAATTAATCAAATTTGTTTTGATTAAAAATAATTTATTGTTAAACTTTGGACCGAAAAAATATGTGTTTGATATCCAATATCTTAATCTGGATAAATCTCATAGAAATAAATCCAATATGTTGACTAATTGTGTAATCTTGGTTGGGAACTTGAGTACAAACCCAAAATCAGTAATAAATGAATAATGTGTTTATGATGTAAACTTTAAAATGATTTATTGAAATAAATCATGAGAATAAATAAAATGAATTCAGTATGAGTACCTTTTTAAGTAAAGGTCAAATAAATCAATTTTGACTTTGTCAAAGTCAACCACCCAAAAATATGATGTCGGAAAAAGTATTGCAAATAATTATGAAAAGTATATCGTTGGATAGAGTTCGACTGTCTGATCGCAACGGTGCAAACATATTTCAATTTGGAGAAAGTTGGACCAAAGTTGGACCAAAAAGTGTACCCCGACTAGAACCAAAATAGGTCCCAATCAGGGAACTGTTTAGACGGCGCCTCCTTCCCCACTACGCCGATCGCAGAATTGTGGAGTCACCATAGCTGTTTTCTTCTTCTCTCCTTCTCATTATATAAGAGAACCCAACCTTCTCATTTCTTCACCATTTTTCTTCATTCTTCTTCCTAAGTGTTCCATGAAAGTGTGAGGAGTGTTGTGGTGCTGTCAATTTGGTGTGAAGTCGCCGGAGTTGGGAGAAATACTCGCCGGAAGTTTTGCCGAAAAATTTCCAAAACCTCCATTAAGCTTCGAAGTAAGCCCGTAGATATATCTAATGACTAGAATGTTCATATAGGTCGTTTCTACGTTCATAACTGGTCATTTGGTTGAGTTTTGTGTTTGACATGCTTGAAGAACTAAGAATCATAAACCATGAAATTGATGTTAAAATTATGAATTAATGATGCTAAAATGATCAATGAACCTTGGAGAACACTTTTATATACTTTAATTGATGTTTGGTGAGTAAAAGTGACATTTCCGCAAGTTGGCTCGAGGTAGAAGACGATGGATAATCGATTATCAACTTGAAAATCGATTATTCATCGTTCTGCAGATTTTTTAAACAAAGCTGAGCAACAGTCGATTATCAGAATGTGATAATCGACTGTCAGCCCTCTCTGAAGTTTGATAATCGATTATCAAAGTGTAGTATGTTTTATTTGCTACACGCAGGTTAATAGAAAGAATGATGTGACATGATTCTGGAGGCAGACAGAGGTGAGATTGTCGGAATGGATGTGACGGTTTTGAATTAAAAAACATAAATAAATTATGTTTGTAATTATGATTTGTTAAGCTTCCGCAATATTGAAAACTCCGCACTGTATATGTTATGAAAAATATTATCGTGATAAATAAAAGTGTTTGAAAAGTGTTGTGTGTATTTATTTATTCCGATTAGGCTCAGGTCACCCGTAAAATTCGGTCCGTAATTGTGCACTACAAGGGTACCAAAAGGAGCAACACCCCAACCCAACCTCGCCACACTCCACTCACAAAGAAACGGAGAAGAACTGAGATCAACTCACAAAGGAAGAAAGAAACCCACACGGAAGTCTCACAAAGAGAGAAAGGAGTTTTGCACAATGAAATAACTCAAGGTGGAAGCCTCAATTTATAGTGGAGATTAGGGTGGTAATTAAGGCAAGCTTAATTAGGTTAAGGAGTATAGATTGGGCTTGAGTAAATGGGCTGCTGGGTTGGGTGTCAAATATTATTAATATGTTTGGGCCAACCCAAATAAATTAACAGTCTCCACCTTTGGCCCAAAGTAGTGCACATAGTTTGACAAGGAACCGCGGGACTCATCATAGCCTAATAACCACTAAATGTGTAATCAACACATGAGAACACACGTAGTGGTGGAGAGTTCACTAAGTACTCTCAAGTCACGAAGACTAGGCAACATCACAAAGCAAGCCAAAAATAACTCACGAAGAGTCGAACTCTACCATTGGGTCATCGAGTTCAAAAAACAAAAGAAAAGCAAAAGTCACAAAGACCAAAAAATGGAACAAAAGATCAGCACACAATCACAGAGATAGGTTTAAAATCTTTTGACATAAGGTAAATTTTTCAATCGGTAAACACTTAGTACCCATGTCAGCTGGATTAGATTCTGTAGGAATTTTCTCCAGCATGACAATTCCCTTTTCGACTATGTCTCTAATAAAATGAAACCTAACATCAATATGTTTTGTTCTATCATGAAAAACAAGATTTTTGCATAGTTGAATGGCAGATTGACTATCAGAAAAAACAACCACATTCTTATCGAGCAAGCATAT